TCTGCCTTTCCTAACCAATGACTCCATTATACCAAATAGCCTGAAATCTACCATCAGTGTTCCCACTGAAGGTCTCCAATTCTGAAGCAAACATCCTTTGTAGCAGCGTGGGCAAGGCAAGAATGGGCTCTAGCTATCCCAGTCCCTGCCCCRACCTCTGCTGGCCTGGACCACTTGGCCAAAGCTAAGCTAATGAGATACCCAGCACAAATGTGGGACACCCTTCCCTACAGAAGTGGTTCTTATACCCAGTGCCTCAGTAGGACTGAGGTGGGCTAAGAATTTCTCCCATTGTACAATTTTCTAGCTGGGGCCCAGGTGTGCAGGAGTAGTCATAGAGTTTGAGTGATCTGACCCTAGCAAAGATAGCTCTTTGAAACATGTGTGARTCCTGAGGCAGGGAGAAGTGCCAACACCTTGAACCAGGTGTATATACCATGGGATGGCAGGATTCTTATTCAAGAGTTTGGAGAAGTGCATGCAGACCACAAACTACCCCTCTCCAAGCCTCAGTCTCTCTATCTGGAAAATAAGGGTAATAACAATGCCTCGTTCATGGGGGATAGTTCTCAGTATTACAAAAGAAAGGAAAAAAATTATTGATATCCTTCAGCACTGGGTATTATACAAAGTGTCTTACAGATAATAATTTATTTAATTCTTAAAACAGCCATATGCAGGGCTGGGGATATAGCTCAGTTGGTAAAGTGCTTGTCTTGCATGCACAGGGCCCTGGTTCAGTCCCCAGCTCCAAAAAAACAAAACAAAGAAAACCTAGCCATATGCAGTAGGACTATTTTTTTTAAAGTAGTAAACCCCCAAATTTATTTATTTATTTATTTATTTATTTATTTATTTATTTGTTTGTTTGTTTGTTTTGTGGTACTAGGGACTGTCTCCAGGAGTAGTTTACCACTGAGCTACATCCCTAAGCCTTTTTGTATATTTTATTGAGACAGGGCCTTGTTAAATTGCAGAGGCCAGCCTTGAACTGGTGATCCTCCTGTCTTAGCCACACTAGTAGCTGGGATTATAGGCAACTAAGAAAAAAAGAGAGAGAGAAAAAAGAGGGGGGGGAAGGAGGGAGGGAAGAAGGGAGATAGAGAGGAAGGAAAGAAAGAAAGGAAGGAAGGAAGGAAGGGAAAAAAGAAAGAAGGAAGACAAGAGAGGGAAAAAAAAGCATCCACAATGATAAACCACTATACACATAGTAGAATGGCTAAATTTTACAATTATAATACCAGTGTTGACAAAGACGGGAAACAATTAGAACTCCCATGTACTGCTAATAGGGATGAAATAGTAGAACTCTCCTTGATAGTTTTTCACAAAGTCAAACATGAGGTAGGATATTCTCATGCCCATTTTACAGACAGAAAAACAGAGGCATGAAGGGAAATAATGCATATGAAAGTGTTTTCTAGAGTTCATATCTAGCAGGTGGTTATTCTGGTTGTGAGAAGGAGGGTTTCACATACCACAGACTGACCAGGCTGCACCAGGGCAGCAGGCACTTGCACCTCCAGCAGGACACAGCGGGTAGTAGGGTAGGCATGGAAGGACAGCACGACTTGGGCCTGCAGAGAGGCTGTGAGCAACAGGCAGGTGTCAGGCAGGCCAGGGATTGTGGGCAGGGACCAGGGACCCTGGTGAGGGCCAGTTGGGCCAGCAGGTTCTTCTTACCATTCGTAGGCTCCTCAAGCTCCAGGTCAGCTGCTCCTTCAAATTTTTCTTCCTCTCCAGACTCTTCCCAATGCTCTGGAAGGACCAGAGAGCAAGGACCAGATCAGATCCCCAGCTCTGGGCTGGCTTTGGGCGTGGCTTCCTTCTAAAAAGTCCAGTGCTGAGAAGCATGGGCCAGGCCTCGAGAAACCAGGTGGACCTTGGAGTCCTTTGGCCAGTCATCTCAACACTGAAGATGCCTATTACTGCCTGACATACTCCCTGGCCCTCATGCCTGCGCTAGACATGCTGACATGTACACATGCAGTCTCAGGATGACTCACTCACCTTGCACGGCCAAGTGGACAACCACACGTACACATAGGTCACAGTCTGTCTCCTGGTGGCACCTCAGCACTAGCTCTGTCTGCAGGCGCGTGGGCACCAGCACAGGGCCTGGGGTGGACACGATGCTCCCAGGTAAGCAGAGCACATCACCATCTGTTTATGAAGGGTGGGGTGGAAGCTGAAGTTGTTCAGAACCCAGTTTAGTTGTACCTACATCCCAGAGCACCAAGGAGCTTAGCTCTTCCTGGGATGAGGGTGAGCAGAGTAGGCATGGGGCTAGGAAGGTTTCTCTTCCTTTCATCAACATGGAAAGTTCTTTTCTCTATAAAAGAGGAAATACTGCCCAGCATGGTGGCACACACCCACAATCCCAGCGGCTTGGGAGGCTGAGGCAGGAGTATCACAAGTTCAAAGCCAGCCTCAGTAACTTAGCGAGGCACTAAGCAACTCAGGGAGACCCTGTCTCTAAATAAAATTCAAAAAAGGGCTGGGGATATGGCTCAGTGGTCAAGTTTTCCCCTGAGTTAAATCCCCAGTACCAAAAAAAAAAAGTGGAGATACTTACCCCAGAGGTGGCAGGAGAGGCCCTTGAAGGGAGGGAAAGTAGAGTCAGAATTTATACCCCCAAGTCTAAGCAACGTCCCCTGCCCGAGACCCCTCCACCTCTTTCTGAAGTTCTCTATCTCAAGTCTCCCTCCAGAAGAAGACGGGACCAGCCCCTTCCTATTCTTCTCTTCCCCCATCCATACCAGACAGACCAGCCAGGGCGGTTCTGGTGGCAGTGGCAGTGACAGGAGCCAGACTAAGGATTTGATGAGCCGTAGCCTGAACCCTGAGCCTCCCCAACCGTCCCAGGGCCTCCGACTCACCAAAGAGCAGCGGGCAGCATCCTGAGGCCCCACAAACCTCTCCAGAGAGACAACCATGGGATTTCGGCCCAATGCCAAGGACAGCAGGAACCAGGGCACAGGCATCTTCCAGGTGCCAGGAAGAACCCAGGCCTGGGGCCCTGTCCTGCCCCCCCCCGCGGGGGGGCAGACACCCTATCCCAGCCCCCACTCAGCCCAGTGTCTGTGGGCAGTGGAGCTGGAATCCCTCCCCAGCCTCAGGGGTCCCAGCACTTGAGAGCTTATGAGCTCCCACTYCTGGGAGCCCTGACTCCAGTCCCAGTTCCAGCCGAGTGCTTTCGATTTGGCTCCCAGCAGGCAACCGGCTGTTCCCGCCCCGCCCTGTCCCTCCCACCCACACCAATCCTGGCTTCCAGCAGTCTTGGACTGGGATGGTGGCCTCTCCTCTTTCTTCATAGCTGACACCTGACTGGGAGGGGACCCCAGGAAGACGGTGCAGCATCATAGCTGAGCAAGGGAATTCCTACTCATCCTGGGAGTCCTAAAAAGGAGCTCCAACTGAATCCAGCCCAGGGCTTGGGCAATCCTGGGGCACTTCCACTTCCCATGTGAACCTGAGATCCCAGGGCCAATGGGTTCCTTCTTAGGGATACCTCGGGTCCCTTTTCACACACTTTCCTGGGTCTCATTGTCCCTTTGTGGGACAGGAGCTCTAAAAGGTACCAGAAAGTGGCTTTTCCCCACTGCCCAGACTAGGCTCAAGTATGTTATGGGGGAAGGAAAACAGGACCCAGAGCCAGACYGAGGTCCTGCCTGTGCTATTGCCATGGCTAGTCACAGGAGGATGAACACACCACCTAGTAGAGCCTGTGTTTCTCCTCCCTCCTCTTGAAAGAATCACTGTGAGGATCCAGGAGATTGCTTGGTCCTCCTTTGCCTTGCCCAGGCACTACTTGTGAGAACGCATGGTCAAGGGTGTAGGTGTGCAGGCAGAAGATTTGGACTCACAAACTGATACAACCCCCCCATACACCCCATGTCCCCCATACTTCACAGGCTCACAGGGACCCTCTCCCAACTTGGCATTCCAGCCATACTAGAGAAGCATGTTGTGTTCCGTCCTTTATAATGTACACTTTTATTCATCTTTCTGGATCTCTGGATCCTGCTCCACCTTTAGCCTTGTTACCCAGGACCAAAGCAACTTTTCCTTGGTCAAGAGTCCTCCCTTGGTCCAAAAAATATGGAGAACCGTGGCCCCAGGTGGTTTTCTTCCACCCCCCTGAAGGACTGACAGCTCTTGCMGTCACCTTGCTGAATCCCCTCCAGCATGGACTAGAGCCCTGGCAGACAGCTCTTCCTGGAGCTTTAGAGAGCTCGAGTGGGAAGAGGGCCCTCTCTCCATCAGAACCTGGGTCTGAGTTCTCAGTTGAAGGGCACCTCTCTCCCCTAGAGTTTGTAAGAGGCAGGCAAGTCTGAAAAGGAAACCCAAAATTATGAGGCCCAGGCTAGGCCTCTTGGATTWGGAGGCAGACAAGAAGGCTTTTCTGTCAATAGTCCTTAAGAGATCCCYTAAGGAATCCAGGTCCAAAGGTTCATTCTGGGGTCCCAGCCAGTGCCCCTACAGACTGTGGCCACAAACATCTGGGACTGCGGTGGAACCCCGCCGAGCTTTGGCAGCTGAGTTTGGCGGCCTCCCGTTCTAGTTGGCGGCACAGCTCCAGACGGCCACGCAAGCACTGCTGAGCCCCAGGGTGGCTCCAGCTGGTGGCTCGGGTGGAAGGCCGAGCGCCCAGAGCCCGCAGCAGGCGCGGCAGGTCTCTGAGCAGGCGGTAGCGCGGCAGGGCGCGYAGCGGCTGGGGAATGTCRCCTTTGGCACAGAGCCGACTGAAGTAAGCGAGCAGCAACAGCGGGCGCGGGGCAGCCCGGAGCAAGGCGCGCAGGGAAGTGGCGCCAGGATCCAGGCCTTGGGTGGGACCAGGGCCTGCGCCACTCCACAGCAGCAGCACGGTGCCCTGCTCCCGTGCCACGCGCGCCTGCGCTGCCCAGAGCCACGGCAATGGGCCCACTCGTGCSATGTGTGTCCCCTCCCACAGGTCTACAATCACGTCGCATCCACCGCCCAGCGCTGTCCGAAGCAGTTCAGCCAGAGCTCCCACTAGGCGCTGCTGAGGTTCTGAGTCCGCTGCGTGCAGGAGCAGCACCAGTCGCGCTCTGCCCCGGCCTGAGGGCGGGAGCAACACCTGAACAGAGTGGGGCGGGGCGGGGGAGGGCAAGGGACAGCCGGCCCTCTCCTCCCCAGCTACACRGTAGAGTGACTCTCTCACCCCATCCCCCGCTGCCTCCTATCTGTGCTGAAGAGTCAGTACCTAGGGCAGCTTGGACCCATAAGGTTCTTGWGGGCTAATTAAATAAAGGCACACCTTATGGAGCACACAACACTTGGCAAGCTCCGTGCAGACTGGAGTTTTGCCCCCCTGGCCTCTGGCCCACTGTCTTGGTACCGAGATAACCAACACAGAGGACCCTTTGCTCTGCCTTAACCATTTATGCCCACTAGGGGGCCTGAGAGACTTAGGGGCACAGGTCAGGAGCTGGCGGGCGTGGCGGGCGGGGMGGKRGGGGGGCGGACAGGAGGGAGCAACTAACCTAAGAGCCAGCACGTCTGAAGCCTCTGGTTACCCCCAGGTGAACATACCTGGCAGTAGGCGCCGGCAGGTGAAGACCAGAACAACGCCCAGTAGGGTGGTGAGGCCCAGCAGTGCCAGGGTCAAGAGCCCCAGGCGTCTATGAGAGACTGAGTCAAGCAGGGTGAGGCCAAACCCAGCTCCTCAGCGCCCAACCTCTGTTAGCTCTCTCCCAAGAACTCACCATCAGGACACAAGAGGTGCTTCCGGGCAAACTGGACATCGGATCTCCACACCTGAGGGCACAGAGCCCCTGCCCTTTGAGCCACAACATCCCTGCCTTCCAGGGGGAGTTGGGTGAGGAGGTGTGGGGACAAGAAGGGAAGTCCCCACTGGCTAGGGGATGTTTCCAGGTCAGGCTGTGTGTGTGCCAGTTCCCAGGCTGGCACAGAACAGGGCAGGGGTGGCAAGTGCAAGTGTGGTGTGGCCAAACTCAAAAAGTAAATTCACAAAGTTGGCCAGGGCTACAGGAGGGAGCTGGAAGGCAGAAACAATCAGACACCGCTGAGCCCGAGACCATTGTCACCATGCCCAAATGTGGACATAGAGCCCTAGCTTTTCTAATTTTTCAGGAAAAGCTGAAATACAGCTTTAAAAAATATGTAAATATGACAATCATATCCAATTTAAAAAACTATCCTGGCTAAAGCCAGTTTTTCAGACGATATTTTCCATGTTTACTACCTGAGGAGCAGATGCTAGGGAGTATACACAGAGTGAGGGTAGGAGGATTCCTTACCAGGACACAGCCCCCTGGCCTCAGGAAGGGAATGATGAGGTCCACTGCCACTGGGCCTGAGCCCTGGGTCTGTAGGAACAAACAGCAGAATGACTGTCCCATAGAAGCAAATCTGGCTCTGTACAGCCTCTGAGTCTTTGCCTATGCAGTTTCTCCCCACCCCCAAAATATTCCACCCAGGTTTATAGACCCAAGTGTCACTTCAGTCAAGATTCCTTGGCTAGGGGCTGGGGATGTGGCTCAAGCGGTAGCGCGCTCGCCTAGCGTGTGTGCGGCCCGGGTTCGATCCTCAGCACCACATACAAAAAAACAAAAGATGTTGTGTCCCCCGAGAACTAAGAAAAAATAAATAAATGTTAAAATTCTCCAAAAAAAAAAAAAAAAAAAGATTCCTTGGCTACTGCAGCCCCCACTGATCTTTCCCAGATCTCAACTCCTGAAAAGATGTCACACAACACACATCTTCTGAGTGCTACTTTGGGCCAAGCCCTGGGGAAGGTGGCCACAGACACTGTCTTTGTCCTTCAGCAGCTCACAAACCAGAGAAGCTAATTCTGTGTGCTCCCTTTACTTTCCCACCCAAGAAAGGAGGTAATGTTGTGAGGAATGTGAGTTATGGAGTCAGAAAACCTACATTCAGGCTTAACTATTGCCTTTGTAATCCTAGCTGTCTGATTTTTGCATGGAAATGATTACCTCTTCTCCCTGGGCCTCAGTTTCTTCATTTGTACCCAGGGAGCAATAATCTTTATATTTTAATGGGTTGAGGGCACCAAAAGGGAATATGTATATGAATGCTCTTTTAATAAACTGCAGTATATATTCATTTTTTGGTAGTACCTATTACTAGACAGTGAACTTCTGAAGGGTAGAGACTGTGTTATGTACTTCTCCTGTAACTCCCAGGACTTAATACAGGGTGAGCACTGAGTAGGTCCTCAAATACATGCTGAATTGGACAGAAATGATTGCTATCTGTCTACAAGTGGGATGTGGCTCCCCTCTGTGTTCTGAGAAATAGGGGATTGACCAGTCTCCATCTTTGAGGAGTACCCTCTATGCTCTAACCCAATGCCTCACACCTGTCTCAGACCCAACTCTCCAGTGAGCTTGTAAGCAGATAGTGATATAGTGATTCCCAAATCACTATATCTTCCTTTTGATTCTCAAAAGGAAGGTAGTCTTTTTCCACACCTTGCAGAAATACACGAATCAATGGGTTTAGGTCTTACTTTTAGKTTATCCCATATAATTTGGTCTTAARTCCTATGTGTTTGCTACTATCTATCTATTTGGGAATCCCTATATATATAATGCAAAACAAATAAATAACCTGCAAGTGAGCATTTAAGAAAGAACTGGAACAAGCTAGTCTTACTGTGTCAGCTTGGTGCTGTGGTTTTGTGGGTATGTTTGATTGTGGTTTTTATATCATATACACAGAAGAGAGTCTATTAGTCAAACTGTTCTTAGTCTACATATTGTGTTAAATCTGTTCACAGTATTGTATAGAGAACACTTTGGCTTCTAGGGGCTCTGACTTTTGAGAGAATCAGAGAACTTCTGCTCAGGTGCCTTGAGGAAATAAGAGATGGGTAGAGGAGAGCTGAGTTCAGGGATGACGTTAATATGAAATGTGGCAGCAGTTCAGGTGGACTAGAGAATAGCTAAATGTGGAAAGGACAGTGTCAGTACAGGAGCTGAAAGGTTTAGAAATTGCCCCTTTGAGGACCCACTGGCTGACAGAGGACCAGMTAAACAAAGGCTGATTGGTAAATAAATTAACCAGATAGAAATCAGGGCTTCGCTTGCCTCCACCCACCCAGGATTTGTCTCACCAAGGTGGCATGTAGATGTCTGGGCCATGCTCTAAACAACAGGACCTAGTGGAGCCAGCCCTGGCTGGGCCATACCTGGCTGACACTGTACACAGGGGGAATCAAGGTGTCCGGCCTCAAACCTGGATGACTCCAGGCAGCACTGAAGGTGGCCTGCATCCTCGAGGAGAAGTGAAGGACCAGCTGTTGGGCCTGGATGTCCATGCTCACATTCCAGGATATGAGAGACCCTGTTTGTGGAARGTGATTGGGGCTGGGCTATGGTGAACAGGGAAGTCAGTGCTGGACTGGGGTTTGTTCAGTCACAGCTGGGTAAGGGTGAAATATGGGGAGGGGATTCTAACTGAGGTCATTTACTGACTTACCACTCTGCTGGGGGCATTCAACATGGCTGGTGTTTTCAAAGGAGAACTGAGAAATTCAGAAATGGCAAGTCAGCAAGCTCCAAGAATCACCCACTCCCTCTCCCCCTCCTCTGTTGCCTATGGTTGTACCTTGAAGCAGAGATGGGGGTGCAAGTCCACCTTCTCTAAAACGTACCACTGGGGGAGAGAAGAGTAWTAGTTAGGAAGGTCTCTGGGTCCCAAGCCTGCCCACCTAAGTGAGGGGAAAGGGGTCTGTCCTCACTCCTTTTGACTCTTGAGCAGTAGCATTGGGGAGGTCTTCACAGAGGCCATGCCAATCCTGCCTCTGGCACAGGGAGGCCTCCAGCTTCAGTGGGCAGCGGAGTGTCAGGGCCATGACCATCTGATCGCTCTGGCTGTAGTCAGTAAAGTGCACTGATTTCCAGAAGTCGGAGCCATCTGGGCAGGTGGCAGGGTCAAAGAGTAAGGCCTCAGCCCTGTTCTAGGCCCATCTTGCTGCCCCCATCCCAGTGGCACCAGGAGATGATGTGGGAGTGTCCAGCATGTTTCCTGGCATGAATAGGTACTCAGTGAGTAAACATTACTTCTGAGTCTCTTTGATTACCTTTCTATCCTTTTATTATCCTTCTTTCCATCCTGGCCCCATTCCMGCCAGCCCCTTGCTGTATTCCATGCTGGAAATCTGCTTAGGCTCCTTGCAGAACCTGGAATGCCTTCCTCTCCCATCTCTTCTTTCTAAATCCTCCCATTTTCTGAACCCAGTTCAGGCCCTAGATCCTTTGAGGGAATGTCTCTGCTCACAACAGCCTTCATGGGCTTGTCCCCTTTCTGAGGTTATGTCCCAAAGCCTAGCCCTTAATTATAACTCTGCCCTGCATGTGCTGTGGGCTGCCTGGTGCTACTTACTTGTGTCAGTGTCCTGTTTCTCCTRGAGGACAATGTGCATACAGCACATTAGATGTCACAGACCACCTTCACATGTAATATTTTATTAAAGATTTATAGTTTGAAAATGAAGCAGCACAAGTTCCATGATTTTATATATGAAGAAACCAAGGCTCAAAGGAAAATAAGTGGCAGAGCTGAGGGGTGAACCCAAGTCTCTGGCCCTACCTCTTAGGACCACATCCTGGATCTCATCTGACCTTTTCACAGTCCTACAATGCTCAGTACCCTCAGGCTTATTGGCAGGCTGATGGGCAGACAAAACTGCAGGGGGAAGTGCCTGCATGCCTTGTGGGGCTTCCTCCAATACAGGTGGTGTGTGTGTGTGTGTGTGTGTGTGTGTGTGTGTGTGTGTGATGGGTGTGTAAGAGAAACAGAGAGAAGGTGTGTGCGCACTACAGTACACACAAGAAGCACTCACAGGCTTTAGGCTGACTCTGGAAAGGACATTTTTTGCGCCTCACAGTGTCCTCTTGCAGGTAGGATGCCTGGGGGAATGGGATAGAGAGTCAGGGGAGTAGCATTCCCTGCATCACTCAGACCTAAAACTCATTCTGGTTCTACCTTACTGTAATGCAAGCTACCCAAGCCAGCAGGGCACCRCGGAGGGTAGACAGGGTATAGTGTGGGCAGAGATGGGGAAGAACTCCAGAGTATGAGAGAGATCAGCATGTGAGGGGCTGAAACCTCTTCTCCCTGGMGAGAACTAGTCCCAGCAAGAAGAAAATTACAAGGCTCACCTTCCTCAACTTTCACCTGCCCTGGCCTCCACCTTGACCATTCCCAAGGTGCCCAGTACCCTTTGTTACCCTCACTCTGAATTACCCAAGTACCCAACTGCTTTCCAACCTGGATCTCATCTGACCTTTTCATTGCTCATTGCTCCAGCTCTCTGCTGTGCCTGCTGTCTGGTCTCTGCAGTGACACTCCCCTGCCTTTTTTTTTTTTTTTTTTTTGGTCTAATCCAAACAAGGTTTTGTGCTAGGCACCTCAGACTTATACAGAAAGGTGGAGGATTATAATGGAAGGGTAGATGGGAGAAGAATTTGGGGCTAGAACATTCCCCAGAACACACAGTATTTTCTCTATAGGCTGAGCCAGATCTGCACAGGGAATGCTGGATCTGGGTGAGGCTGATTGGATCACCCTTCCACTTTGGACCACATATGGCTCATAACCACACTGGTACCAGTCTTCCTAAGCATYTCAATCACACTCAATCTTTTCCTTCCTTTCTTCCTTTTTTTTTTTTTTTTAATAGTGCTATAGATAAAACCCAGGACCTCACACATACTGGGCAGTGCTCTACCACTCAGCCACACCTCCARCCCCATCCAGTTCTTTTAAAAACCTGACTTACTAGAGAGATGCTTGACCGAGGAGCCACTGACAACCCACACATTTTCCTCTGCTCACCTCTATGCACAGACAAGGCAGAAGGAATTCATAAGGCAAGTCTGTAGTGTGGCCCCCAGGAACGATTTTCTGTTGATGAGACAGAAAGGGTCAGAAGAGACATCTGAGAAAGAGAATATGGGAACCATGAACAAGGGCAAGAGGAAGCTGGGACATTGGCCCACATACTCTATTTTTCTCTTATATGGCATTTATTTCTTACACTGAAAAATTTCCTCTCAGGGTCTCTGTTCTGTATTCTGACCATTTTCTCTGGGTATTCTACTTGGAGTGAGGAGGAAAAAGACAGGAAAAGGAATATGGATTTATTGAACTCCAACTATATGTCAGACAGGGTATTAATAGTATTAATTAAGTTAATCCATATACTAATATCAGAGAGAAGTTGTGAGTTATCAACACCACTGAATAAATGAAGAGTGTTGAGGGCCTCTAGGGTATGGCATCAATCTGTGCAAATTGTTTTAACTGTACACATGGCTTCTGTGGAAACTGGAGGTGGAAGTGAGATGTTAGGGCAAGGGCAGGGAGTTTGAGGAATTGCTCATTCCCTGAGGGGCAAAACAAAGGATGAGAGAAGGGAGGGTATCAAGACATGTCACTACTCTGTTCCCCTTGAGAAGAACCTCTTGTGGGAATTGAAAAGGCTTCTTTTTTAAAAAATTTATTTTTTATTTGTAGTTGGACATAATACCTTTATTTCACTTATTTATTTTTATGTGGTGCTGAGGCTCGAACCCAGGGCCTCGTGCGTGCAAGGCGAGTGCTCTACCGCTGAGYCACAACCCCAGCCCTGAAAAGGCTTCTAATGCAAGCTGAATCACATTGAAGGTCTTAYTGGGGGTACAAAACATACTCATTTTGCTACTCATCATTCCTGGTCACTCCAGGACTCTACCTGTCCCTCTTTTTTCTCTCCTCCCAAGTAACAGGACCCCTGCTTTTCCTATTTAGTCCAAAGAAGGCTTAATGCTAGACACCTCAATTTGTCTGGGACAATGACCTTGCTCCCCACTCTCCCCATCTGCTATAGCACTGGGTGTTTTAGCTTCTTTCTTTCTTGTTCTTTTTGTGCATGTGTGCTGGGGATGGAAGCCAGGGCCTAATACATGTTAGGGAAGAGCTCTGCCACTGAGCTACTTCCCCAGGCATTTTTAAAATTTTATTTTGAGTCAGGGTCTTCAATGAGCAGGCTGGTGTTGAACTTGCAATCCTCTTGCCTCAGCCTCCCAAGTAGCTAGCATTACAGGTATGTGCCACTGCACCCAGCATGATCTGGCTCTGTTTTACAGAGGGATGACACTCCATACCTGGGCATCAAAGGGACTTCTCAGCTCTTCACACTCCAGTGCCCACTGGTGGCAAAGACGCACGCTGACCTCTGGGCCTGGAGGAATGGTGACCTGAATAGCCCGTGCCTCAGGCAGAAAATCAATGGAGAACTCAGGTCCTGAGGAGAGTTAGGTACTCAGTTACTTGGGCTGTCACTTGGGCTTAGCAGGTAGCACTACACAACTCAAGCAAACTCCTATTGTTCCCCACGCCTACCTTCGTTCCTTTGTGAACCTGGTCTGGGGAGACTCTCCACTACTTCTGGATCCGAATGTTGGGTCCTTTTAGAGCGCAGCCCCTTCTGAAAGATGTCTGGGGAAGGGATGGAAATATGATGGTCCTTCTCAGACAGGGTGCAGCTACCTAGCAGCTTCCACTGAAAGCAGAGAACAAGGTTGGCCTTAGGTCAGGAATCAGGAAATCTGGCTTCTGTTTGTGCCTCTGGAACCTGAGGAACCACAGGCAAGTTGAACAACCTCTTTTGGCCTTAGTTTCCCTTACTCTGTAATCTCCACATTTTCAACTTCCCTCATGTGGCTAGAGAACAAAATGAGACACTAAGAAGCAAAGGGCTGCAGGGTTCATGGCAGGGCTGAAACTGGCAGAGAGAGTACCTGAGAAGATGCTGGCATCCTGTGCCTCTGAGAGGACTTGAACTTGTAAGACTTTTTGGATTTCAGCAGCAAGAGGTAGAACCAGGCCCTCTGAAGGCCTGCACRGGGGAGGAGGACATACTTAGTATCTAGGCTTCAATGCCTCTCTCCTATTTGGAGATGTGGTCCAATGTTGGGTAATAAGTCATTTTWTTTATTTATTTAATTTTTTGTGGTCCTGAGGATTTAACCCAGGCGTGCTCTACCAATGAGGTATATACTCAACCTTTTTTATTTGTATTTTTAGACAGGGTCTTGCTAAATTGCCAAGGATGGTCTCAAACTTTCAATCCTCCTGCCTTAGCCTCCTGAGGTGCTGGGATTACAGGTATGTGCCACCACACCCAGATTGTAARTCATCTTATCAAGAAGCATAATGATGCCAAGCTTCTTTATTCCTCAAAAGTAAGACATAATGAGGGGCTGGGATTGTGGCTCAGCGGTATAGCACTCGCCTAGCACGGGCAAAACCCAGGTTCGATCCTCAGCACCACATAAAAATAAAGGCATTGTGTTGTGTCCATCTACACCTAAAAATATAATAAATATTTATATAAAAAGTGACATAATGAAAAAACAGTTAATTTATTAAGAAGAGAAAAAGTGATACATGCATATATTCAGAATAGATCATTGTAACATTATTTCTTTCTTCTTTTTTTTTTTTTTTGTAATGGGGAATGGAACTCAGAGGCACTTTACCGTTGAACTACATCCCAAGCCCTTTTTATTTTTTGTTTTGAGACAGGGTCTCACAAAGTTGCCCAGAGACCTCAAAATTGTGATGTTTCTGCCTCAGACTCCTGAATAAATGGTATTACAGGCATGAACCACCATACCTGGATCAAAGGTAGCATTATTTCTAATAGTAAAAACTTAGAAATTTCTAATTTTTAAGCAATATATGAATATTTAGTATGTAACCATGCAAGGCAATGAAAATAGAGTTGAAAAAGAAAGAATATCCTACCTTAAAAATAAAAAGTAATGGGGTTGGGGTTGTGGCTCAGTGGTAGAGTACTTGCCTAGCATGTGTAAGGCACTGGGTTTGATCCCCAGCACCATATAAAAAAATAATAAATAAAATAAAGGTATTGTGTTCATCTACAACTAAAAAAATAAAAATTAAAAAAATAGGAAATAATAACCTTCAAGTTAATAGAAATGCCCAAATTTTGAATTGATTGAAGAGATTAACACCTTCACAGAATCATACAGTTACACTTGTGGATATCAGTCATGGTGTAATATTTGAGGATGCTCTAAGTCCCTGTTGAGGTTGACAATTGTTCTACCATGACAGGTCCCATTTGCCTCAGCCTAAGTATCCCACCCAAAAAAAGGTCCCCAGTTCACACCTCCATTGGGCTGTTTCTCATACCTGAGGGCTCTGATACCTGATGCAGGCACAAACAGCAGGGCCAGTACCAGACCCACGCATGCCTTGGCTTTGTGGAGAGAAGGAGAGCCAACTTGGTATGACAGACAGCAGGCACAGAATTTCCTATGCAAGATGGAAAGGAAAGGAAATGACAGGGTGTAAAGAGGTCCCTCAAAAAATAAAAAATAAAGAGGTCTCTCCTCCTTCAGACCAATTAGATGATGATGATGATGATGATGATGATGATGATGATGATGATTTTTAACCATTGGATTTCATGCTGAACTCTGACATTTACATCCTGGGCATGTGACTGTGGGCAAGTTACGGGACCTACCTATCTGCCTCTTCATTCATAAAGCAGGGCTGTTAGGATCAAGTAAGATGATATGTGAGGAAATGCCTGGCCAAGTAGAATGTACTATAAAATATGAAGGATTAGTTTTGTATTATTTGTATAATTAGTTTTGTATWATTATGAGTAAAGGACTGGTTAAGGGGAAGAACCACATTCATGGATTGCCAGATGTATCCATGTTCCTCACTTAATCCTCCCCACAGGTCAGAAGAAAGACTRTCTCTGTGGTACAATCAGTTCTCCACCACTACTATATAGCTCAGAATCTGAAGATGATTTAAGTAAAAGAGGCCACTCATGGAGTTTGGGGTAAACTGCYGGGCAAGTCCAGGCTGTCCTGCACTTTTGCATTGATTTATGTTACTTCCCAGGGTGGGAACCAAACAGTACAATAAAGGGCTCACTGGGGATATAGAACAAAAGGGATTGTAAGAGGCACTAGTGGGGCAGGAAATAAGACTCACCAGGAAAACTCCTGTCCTGAAGGCACAGGGCCCAGCAGCAAAAAGAAGAAAAGAGGTATTAATAGAAGATACTCCCTTTAAGCAGCATTCTCCCTGGGCTTTTTGCCAGGAACTATCCAGTTCTTAATCCCATGGCTAAAAGCCCTCCACCCTGGCTCTTTTCTTCCCAGTTCCACCCTGCCCAGGCCCTCAGCACACCAGGACCTTCACAATCCCTTCAGACTTTAGAGGACACACTGTGGCTGCCACAAGAACACAGGGACAGAGAAGTAAGAACTGGCAGGTAGRGGAGTGGGGAGCTTTATACCTGTGCCAGGCAGGTGTCCCCCCATAGCAGTGGCACCTTACCATATGAGAGGCCAGTAGACAGTGGGTAATCCAGTGTGGCAGGTGGGGGCAGCCAATCCCAGAAGAGGCAGAGAGGCCAATGAGCAGCAGCAGGAGAGGCAGTAGCAGGGTTGCTGGTCTAGGGCTCTCCATGGGCTTCTGGGGGCTCAGGGAACCCAGGACATGGCTTTGTGGCCTRAAGGTGGGCAGCAGGGCCTTGCTGTGCAGCAGCGGGAGTAGGAGTACATACGGTACCAGCAGGAGCCCTTGCCTTACCCTGCCCAGGCCCCGCCCTGCCCCAAAGCTCCTCCTTGATCCTAACCAGCAGGCTAGGTCACATTCCTTCTCCAAGCAAAGGGATTGGGGTTACTTGTTCCCTAGGAAACCTTTCGCTCCCATCTGAAACAATCAGGGGCTCTTGCAGTGGCAGAGAAATGACAGGAAAGGGGCCACTACCAAGTTGGGGGATGGTGTACCCATTTCTTAACCCCTCCTACACCAAAATACCCATCCATTAACATGCTCTTGAATTTAGGTCTCCCATAGACACAAGCTTCTTCCCCTCACCTGGAGAACTAACAAAGCTATTAAGCAGCACTACTCTAYGCTGGATGCTGAAAATTTAGAGGTGAGTGACAAACCATTTTAAAGTTGAGCAAAAAAGAAAAAGACACTATAGGGTGCACAGAAATCTTATATGCCCCAATGTTACCCTGGTTCCCCCATCTGGCTGGCTCTTTCTACCCATTAGACTTTTTGGGCAAAGGGTTTCATGTCAAGGGTTCTCCAGCTTCAAGGACCCACTAAACAGTACAGCCTGCTAAGGAAGCCCCAGAGCTCAYAGATGAGCCCTGGAGCAGAGGGAGCGGGCCCCACACACTGACCTGGTTTCCTGTGGTTTCCGGTGCAGGAAAAGGCTGACAAGGCTCCAATCTTTGTGGGGACCCTCCCCATCATCCCACAGCTTCCTCCCCCTCATGGAGTACTTGAGCTTCTTCAGCCCTAATATTGGTGACACCCACAGTAGAAGGAAAGTTTGGGGGCATACTCAGTATACTCAAAGCATTTTGAGGTGGTTTTTTTCCGTCGGCGACTTAATCCTAAAAACCCTCAGTAGCCTGATCAAAGCCTTCTTCTATTTCCTTTTTTTAGCTGTACTGGGGATTGAATCCAGGGACATTCTACTACTGAGCTATATCCCCAGCCTTTTCTATTTTATTTTGAGAGTGTCTCATTAAGTTGCCCAGGCCTGGCCCGGAACTTGTTATCCTCCTGCCTCAGCCTCCCAAGTAGCTGGGATTACAGGTACACACCCCCCACCTGGCTCTAACCATGACCTTCTTTTGCCTAAATGTTCAGGTKCACTACCTGAAAGCCTCATCCCATCCATTATCCTAAAAATATCCTCTATCTTTTGAGGTCACTAAAGGATAAAAATTCTTGGGCTGGAGTTGTAGCTCAGTGGTAGAGTACTTGCCTCGMAAGTGTGAGGCACTGGGTTCAATCCTAGCACCACATAAAAACAAATAAAGACATTGARTCCATACAACTGAAAAAAATTATAAAAAAAGATAAAAATTCTTATTCTTTATGTTTTTCCAATACCTAGTAGTGAATCTCTTAAATTTTGTTGCTCTGTAGTTGAACAAATGTAAGTTAGATACATTTCATCTAACTAGTTTATCTGTTTCACACTTCACAAAGCATTTTCCTATCTGAGCCAAGCACCTTATGAGACAGATAAGTGAGAATTATTGTTTTCATTTCATAAAGAGAAATAAGGAAGCAGATGGGAGAGTGATTTAGACAAGGTCAAAGTCTATAGCCCAGGAAGCCCCACTTCTGCTAGGCCCTCGCAACTCAAATGCTCTTTCTAGCATCCTGTGATCTCTTTTCCCACTGCCTGATCCTCTTCTGCTCTTTGAACCAAGGATCTGCCTGACACAGTGCTGTTTTATGGCCTTGGAGCTCATCTGTGCAACAAATTAGAAAAATTTGAAGAGAGAAAAGGTGGTCTAGCCATACCAAGGATGGGCTAGGAGTCACTGGGGGTACAGCTGAGTTGATAGAGTGCTTGCCTCGCATGCACAAGGCCCTGGGTTCAATCCTCAACACCACACATACACACACACACATAAAAAAAAGAATGGGCTAGGAAGCCTTGCCCCAAACTCTACAGTACAGTGGCTTTGCTCTTTATAAATAATTGAGTTTTTCTAAATCTTAGGCATGAAATGAGAAGCTTGCCTCTATTCTGTAACACTAGTCCTTCTAGACCTCTGAATCCTCCAATTTCAATTTCAAAGTGAAAATATTTGGTTAATTTCTYTCTGACCCTGGTTAAAGCAGAAAAGAAAGAAATGGAGATTTGAACAAAATGGAGATACCAGGGAAGGTTGGGAGAGGGAAGGGAAAGGAGAGGGGGAGAAAAGGAGCATGTAGAAAAGGAATAAAGATGAAAAAATAGGGAAAAAGAGAAAAGTAGGTCTACCTTTTATTGTTTTCCTGGCTTACTTTTTTAATATTTATTTTTTAGATATAGGTGGACACAATGTCTTTATTTTACTTTATGTAGAGCTGAGGATCAAACCCAGTGCCTCATGCACGCTAGGYGCACACTTTACCCCAGTCCTCCTGRCTTACTTTTATTTATTTAGTGTGGAGCCTGTTCCCAAAAGGATTTAAAGTAAAAAAGCATAGGAATGAATTCCAGGACATCCTGAGGAAGAGTGGGAGACGAGATCAATAATGCTAAACTCCTGTGATGAGGTTSAGCATCAAATGCTTTGCTCACTTAATCTCATTTTATTGGCACTAAAACCCCTGAGGTCAGGCTTATGACCCAATTATATTGACCGGGAAACACTCAGGGGAATTAGGTGACTTGTTCCAACACACAACTGAATATACCACCCTATCTCCCTGTCTTCCCGTTTGTTTGTTTTTTTTTTTTTCCTGCCAGAACACACTGCTTGGAATCAGAAGTTTTCTGGATCCTGTTGACCACAGAAGGTACTAGATTTAKCGGTGTTGGCAGAGTAAACAACAAAGAGAAAAATTGGAATGGCTGGAACAATAAAGGAAAGTAGGCATTATGACAGTGAGAGATCAGCAGTCCTTTCCTTGTAGGAGGGAGGAGACTGGCAAGTGTCAACATGGGAGGAGTAAGTAGGTAAGTAACTGGATGGCTGGAATCAGAGGTGGCCAACTAGTATGAAGGCAACAGGGGTGTGGTTTAGGACCTCGGCCCAGAGGCCTTGTGTTCCTTAAGTGTGACTGAGACTTGACCCACCTATGGTTTGTGTCTGAATGACCTGCTCAAGACCTCATGGTCTAATAACGCTTACTAGCGGACCAGGCCAGGAACTTGGATCTTCACAGGCCTTTGCACATGCTCAGGTAGAGCACCTGTGGGGGATCTCTGGCAGCTTTCCTTCCTTCCTTCCTTCCTTCCTCCCTCCCTCCCTTCCTTTTTTGGTGCTAACCTTGCCATGCAGAGACTCTGGACAGACCATGGTACAGCAGTTCCAGGATCTTCCTGACCAATTCTTAAGGTCTGTTGGAGCAACTGCAAACACTATTTGTATGTCCTATGTATACCCATTAGGCAAATGTACCRGGGATTAWACTCAGRGGCACTCGACCACTAAGCCACATACATCCCCAGCCCTATCTTGTATTTTGAGAGACAGGGTCTCACTGAGTTGCTTAATGCCTCGCTTTTGCTGAGGCTGGCTTTGAACTCCTGCCTCAGTCTCCCAAGTCTCTGGGATTACAGGCGTGCCCCATAGGGCCTGGCTCTATGTGTGTTTTATTCTAGCAGGAGGCAAAAGCTAAGGGAGGGGAATAAGGTACAGTTTGCATTTGAAAAAGCTTACTCTGGCTGCTGGGTGGGGACTGGATTGTAATGAGACAAAAGTCAAGGCTGGAAACTAACTGGAAGTCGTTGCAACTGTCCAGGTGGCAAGAGACAGTGATGGACTTAGTGCCAGCTGTAGGACAGAGAGCCTAGAGAAGTAGGTTTGGGGTTGAATCATTGGGTCTCGCCGATTGATTGGACAGGCAGGTGTCATGTGACTTTCAGGTTTCTGGCTAAAGCAGAAATGCTTTTGCAGGCAGGGTGGGGGAGTTGGGAGAGAATAAACTTTTACATGTTTTTTAAATTTTTTTTTAATATTGATTTTTCAGCGGACACAACATCTTTCTTTGTATGTGGTGCTGAGGATCAAACCCGGGCCGCATGCATGCCAGGCGAGCGCGCTACCGCTTGAGCCACATCCCCAGCCCCTAAACTTTTACATGTTTATGTTCAAGGTCTTCATTGGATGGCTCTAAGTACTCTGGTATCTATTACTATAACAAAATACTGAAAGTTGGGTAGTTAATAAAGAAAAGGAGTTCAGGCATGGTGGTGCACACTTGTAATCCCAGCTACTCAGGAGACTGAGGCAGGAGGATTCCAAGTTCAAGGCCAGCCTGGGAATTATAACAAGACTTTGTGTCAAAATAGAAAGGGTTGGGATGTAGCTCAGTAGYAGTGCAATCCCCAGTACTTATGTTTAAAAGTTTGTTTAGCTGGGTGTGGTGGCGCAGGCCTGTAATCCCAGCAGTTCTGGAGGCTGAGGCAGGAGGACCATGAATTCAAAGCCAGCCTCAGCAACAAGGTGCTAAGCAATTCAGTGAGACCCTGTCTCTAAATAAAATACAAAATACAGCTGGGGAGGGGCTGGGAATGTGGCTCAAGCGGTAGTGCGCTTGCCTGGCATGTGTGCGGCCCGGGTTCGATCCTCAGCACCACATACAGACAAAGATGTTGTGTCCGCCAAATACTAAAAAAATAAAATATTAAAAATTCTCTCTCCCTCTAACTCTCTCTCACTCTTTCTTTAAAAAAAAAAAAAATACAGCTGGGAATATGGCTCAGYGGCTGAATATCCTTGAGTTCAATCCCAGGTAAACCCCCCTCCCTGCCAAAAAAAAAAAAAAGACTGGGGATGTAGCTCAGTACTTGCCCAGCAGGTGTGAGGCTCTGGGTTCAACTTCCCCTCTGCCAAAAGATAGGAATGGAAGATTATGCAAATCTATGCTCTTGGAAGTCTCACTTGAACACAGGGATGCAGGAAGAGTAATGAATATGAGGCAGAAGGCAGAATTAAATTTGGGACATAAGTTTGAGATAACAGGACATCTAAAGGAAGAGGTTCTGCAGTTAAAACTATCATAAGTGTGTAATAAAGACAGTACGGAAATCCTGTTTCTAGAATAAAGAATGACTACAATTTTGGAGAGGGCAGAGCTCTACAGTTGTAGATCTGGGCATCATTCATACATAATGAAGTGCAAACAGAAGGGACATTCATCTTTCATGTAATAAATATTTACTGTGCATCAAACTTCAAAGTGTTATTTCAGTAACAGATTTCTTTTCCACTTCTATTCTTTTTTAAAAATTTTAGTTGTAGATGGACACATTTATTTTTTTGTGGTGCTGAGGATTGAACAAATTATCTCACACATACTAGGCAATGCTCTACCACTAAGTTAAAACCATAGCCTTCAACTTAAATTATCTGCTTCAGGGGGCTGGGGTTGTAGCTCAGTGGTTAAAGTGCTTGCCTATACTCATGAGGCACTGGGTTTGATTCTGAGTACCAYATATTAATGAGTAAACAAAATATAAAGGTCCATCAACAACTTAAAAATATTTTTAAAAATTATCTGCTCTATACCATTAGATCCTATTCTTTTTTTTTTTTTTTAAAGAGAGAGTAAGAGAGAAGAGAGAGAGGGAGAGAGAAAGAGAGAGAGAGAGAGAGAATTTTTAATATTTGTTTTTCAGTTCTCGGCGGACACAACATCTTTGTTGGTATGTGGTGCTGAGGATTGAACCCGGGCCGCACGCATGCCAGGTGAGCTCGCTACCTCTTGAGCCACATCCCCAGCCTAGATCCTGTTCTTATTAGTTACTTTACACACACAGCTCTTTCCCACTGGATTGCTAAATTTCCTGGTATGGCTTGGATACTGTCCCTCAAAGGTCTATAATACATACAAGATTTGGTCCCTAGCCTGTGGCCCTACTAGGAGATGATGGAATCTTTAGGGGGTGAAGCCAAATAGAAGGAAGTTAGGTCACTGGGGGTGTGCCCTCAAAGGGGATATTGAGACTTTTTCCTCTTTTTCAATTCCCAGCTGTTATGAGATGAGCAGCTTCTTCCCCTACATGCTCCCGTCATGATTTACTACCTCACCAAAAGCAATGGGACAACTGAAAAGGGACTGAAAATTTCAAAACCAAGAGCCAAAATAAACCTTTTGTCTGATTTACTTCAGCTCACACTTCCTGTGCACAAAGGTATTTTGAAATTCTTTTGGGCACATAAATGATAAACATGAGTATTTAGTAAGAGTCTATAACCCAGGCTAGATAAATGAAAGTGGCCCATGTTATGGGTAGAAACTAAGTGTCTACCCATGGGAGTTCATGCCAATCAGCTGCAGGACTACAACTATGACTTGTATTTCCCATGCCCAGTTCATTTTTTTCCAGCTACTGCCAAGTTTCTTAGAGAGCTGCTGCTTACCCCCGTTTCTAAGGCTACTCAAGCAACACACCTTTCACATTGTTACCAAATCCCAGACACAAGGAACAAGGTGGAGAGGGCAGTTTTAACTTTTATTGAGGTTCTTTTTACTTAATTAAAATGCTTTTCAGTAGAGAGCACAGCCTTCAGGGAGAGCAGTTTCCCAAATATTTCCTGCCCTATTGATTAAAATAGAATGATTTATTCCTTATCTCCTTTGGTCTTGATGGAAGTGGGGAGAATGACCAAGAGGAGGCAAGGTAAGGAAGAAAAAGTCCTAAGTGGCTCAACTTCAACCAACTGAAGTTTCACATCTGTTGGTCACCCAGTTTTAGCCAATCAGGAATAAATTAAATATAGTTTTGCCACCTCAGCAGATGGCAGTAGGAGAACTCTAAGCCAGAACTTGGGCTTAGTCTACCCTAGGTGCCAACATGACAATTGCCTTAATCACCGGAAGAGATTTACAAACAGTTCTTCTAGCCTTCTCTGCTCAAAGGGAGGCTTKGGCTTCACTCAGAGAAGTCCATCAATCAGGCAGGCTTCATTTTCGTTTCTTCTCCTGTGTGCTGGTGAACCAAGAGTCTAGGAGTTTCTTGCTGTAGTACAACTGCCAGGCATGCACTTGTACCGCCAGTACTAACACCAGGTACATGACAGAGACAGCAGAAAAACCAAAGAGGAAGCGGTAGGCCTTGCCATGGCGGTAGAGTTGCTGAGCAGCAGGGAACATCTCCATGCTGCCATAAATGAGTGGAGCAATGGAAAATAGCCCCATGCTGATCATGGAGAGCACCAGGTAGCTAATATTGTTTCGGGGAAAGGAGAGAAGGCCCAAGAGAGAGGGCACAATGCTCAGCAAATATGGATATTCCCACTGATAAGGCATGGCCACCTGATCATGTGACATGAGCCTCAGGTGTCCCACACTCATCTTGGCAACCASCAGCAGCCATATGACCAGATGCACGTAGATCAGCTTCTTGATTTCATACTTGAGGGTCACACTGTGGGGCAGAGCAGAGGGAGAAGCACCTTTCATTCAAATTTTTTTGACCACCAGCTATATGCCAGGCAATTTTACTGGACAGGGGGATACAAATTTGAATRATATAGTCTGACAGAGGTTGAGCACAAAGAACAGAGGAAAAAAAAATTAGAGAAAAAAAAATGAAAAAAYGCTTTAGTAAATGTATGTTCCAAGATATACAGGATCGCGAGAAAGGAATCAATTCTGTATGGGATGGAATGTCACAGAAGGCTATCTCAACTGGGATATTTGATTCAAGCTCTAGAGATGGCTGGAGATGAGCATTCTATGCAGAGACAATAGCATGCAGGCACAAAGGCATAAGCATTTGTGTTCCAGGAAACCAAATGGTTGAATGTGGATAGGAGGGGAACAGGACATGAAGGTACAAAGACTATAAATGGCCTAAAGGCAGAATAACGCTGYAATGTTATTTGCACCAGAGGACTACAGCCTAGAGAGAGAAAGTATTGGCAACAAGGACCCGGCTAAGGCTGCCCATTCTTCAGCTATAGATTTTTCATATAAAAGAATATTTCTTCTATTCTTTGAATTCTCTCAGGTCCCAAATGTATCCTTCTCATACTCCTGTGGGCAATGTTTCTGCTCTGGGTAGGCAAGAAAACATTGCTTGGGTTGTGAGGACACCTTAGGCAGGGGCCTAAGGTTGAAAATGAAGTGAGGATCCAAATAGCTTGTCATTCTTCAAAATCCTGAAGAAAGATGTGAAGAACATCCTGGGAGGAGTCAATTAATTTAATAAAGAGAATAATTTAATTTAAAAATATTCATTATAAAAAAGTGTGGGGAAGGGGTGTGTGTCAAACACCTCCAGACTTCAAGCTTTATGAGGGGTAAAGGTTGAGAGTTGCTTTTTTTTTTTTTTTTTTTTAATTTGTGGTCTCCCTGTGTTGTTCAGGCTGGCCTCCAACSACCCTTCAGCTTCGGCCTCCTAAGTAACTGCGTCTACACAAAGGCATGTGCCACAGTGCCTGGTTTAAAATAAACTTCAAGGTATGGCATGCAAACAAAGACTACATCTGCTTTTGCTCACTATTGTATCCTAACACAATGCAGAATGGGTAGAAGCTCAACAAGAATTTATGGAAAGAATAAATGAATGTAGAAAACAGCCCTTATGTGGGATTTTTTACAAAATTCATTTTAGGCAGGGACCCATTTTACACATTCCCTGAAACTGCCCAGAATAAAACAACTACCATGTATTATTACGTGATAGGCCCTATGCTATGTCCTTTACACGAGTTATTCGCTAATGCTTCATYAAAATCTAAAAGGTACATTATTTTCTCCCTCTGCAGATGAGGGAACAGAGGCTCAAGTAGAAATGAGGTTTTCAAGTTTCCAAGGTCACGTGGCATGACCAGCATTTACGCGACTCCAGAGCCCACGAAGGGCCGGATCCCCTAACGCAAAATCAATGGGCGAATCAATGGGTGGAGCTCGCGGGGGCGATGGGGTTTCCCCAGAACCGGGGAGGCCGTCACGGGCGGCGAGGGCTGGGGAGGTGTGCGGGTCTGGGGAGTAAAACGCTGAAACCGGACTGGTGTTGCCTCCCAGACCTTTGCAGGCTCCAGCCAGGAAGGCCTCMGTGCTCCTCGCCTCACTTCATACCTCATCTGGTAGTGCATGGCGACGCGCTCCCGGTGCTGAAAGTCGCTGCCGTCGGTGCCGGCTGCTCGCGGGCCTGCCCGAGACGCCATTGTGTCCGAACARAACCCCAGAGCCCCTCGCGCCCACCGGCTACAACAACTACACAGTCAAGAACCCCAGGGACCCTGTTCGCGCCGCCTCAGCACAGTTACCCAACGGCCGCGCGGCTCTGCGAGGAGGACTTCCGGCCTCTCTGTCCCGGGAGGACCGCCTCTGTGGTTACTGCCCTCACGCATGCGCTCTCGCTCTCTCGGGCCCCTCCCCACGTCTGCGCGTGTGGAGCGCGCAGGAAATTAATCTCCAATCTAGGCGTCCCATGCTGTTTGCCCGAAGGCCTCTCCTGCATTGACAGTTTATTAAGCTCCAACTTGAATTTAAGACGCAGGTGTTCTCGTTTCACAGCCAGGGAAACGGATTGCCAGGAAGCGTTCTTTCACCCTGCTCCGTGCCAGCACTCATCATTCATAAATYCCCAAAATTTGGTTAAAATTGGGCTGAGGTTGTGGCTCAGCGGTAAAACGCTGGCCTTGCACGTCTGAGGCCCAGGGTTCGATCCTCAGCACCACATAAAAATAAATAAAATAAAGGTATTGTGTAAAAATGTGAGTGTGTAACCGATGTGATTCTGCAATTTTGTATTTGGGGTAAAAAATGTTCAAAGTCAACCTCAGGAAGAGCAAGGGCTAAGCAACTGGGTGAAATTCTGTTTCTAAATAAAATACAAAATAGGGCTGGGGATGTGGCTCAATGGTTGATACATTGAGAACACAGCATCACTTCTGTGATACACCTGTCAGATGCTTAGCCTGAACCTCATCATAAAGAAATGCCAGATAAACCCAAATGGAGGGATGCTATATGAGGTAGTTGGACTGTAGTCAAACTTTTTCAWGATCATGACAGAAAAAAAGAAATAATTTCCAAATAAAATAGTATCTGTAAAATCAGAAAGTAGAAAGGTGGTTGCCTAGAAGTATGGATGGGGGAATGGGAAGTTATTGTTTAATGGGAGCAGTTTCTGTGTGAGATGATGAAAACATTCCGAAAATGGGTGGCGGTGATACTCTGTGAGATTTATGTTCTCTTTTCTGTCAAAGTTAAACCTGTAGGGCTGGGGTGGTAGAGCGCTTGTCTAGCATGTGTGAGGCATGGGATTTGATCCTCAGCACCACATAAAAATGAATAAATAAAATAAAGATTTTTTTTAAAAGTTAAACATGTAGTCTGCGTTTTTTAATATGTAAAAAGAGTGTATTTATTGTCATCTAAACCATGTAGTTGAAATGTAACCATTTGAGCCCCCCCACAATCTCCCTTTGTCCTCAGTCTTCCAATCATAATGCCTACAGTGCAGTTGGTGATCAATCAACCATAGCCCTATCCTTGCCCTCCCTTCTTTTGGGAGGGGGGGGGGTGCAGGGGATTGTGTCAGGGGCAATCTGCCACCGAACTACATCCCCAGCCCTATTTTGTTTATTTATAGACAGGGTCTCACTAGGTTGCTTAGTGCCTCACTTTTGCTGAGGCTGGCTTTGAACTCAAACTCCTCCTGCCTCAGCCTCCTAAGTCGCTGGTGAAAACAGAATTATTCAGGCAGTCGGTATAGATAGGTGAATCAAGTCAGGTTGGATTAAGTAAGGCAATTTGAAAGAGTCCTGGAAGTTGGAGACTGCCCCCTGAGGGACTGAAATGCCTTCAGAGCACTTCCTCCGCCCTATCAACCTGTTGCTAAGGTAACCAGCAATGTAAAAGTGTTTCTTTTTCTCCACATCCTCTCCAGCATTTATTATTATTTGTATTCTTGATAACTGCCATTGACATGACATGAAATCTCCGTGTAGTTTTGATTTATATTTCCCTAATTGCTAATGATGTTGAACATTTTTTTCAAATATCTGTTGGTCATGTGTATTTTTTTTCTTTTGAGAAGTGTCTGTTTAACTTATTTGCCCACTTATTAACTGGGTTATTTGATATTTTTATGTAAAGTTTTTTGAGCTGAATTGTTTATGTTCTTATATTCATTTTTCTATTGTGTTGCCTTCTTAATTTATATGGAGAGGGGGAAGGGAAAAGAGAGACAGGGAGAGAAAGAGAATGAATTAGTTTCTTGTATATAATGTTAGTTGAACTGTATTTTCCCTATACATTGTATGTCAGGGTTTTCTTTGTTTTTGTTTAAGAGACAGGCATCTTGTTATATTGCCCATGTTTTCCCAGAACTCTTGAATTCAAGGCATCCTCCTGCCTCAGCCTCCCAAGCAGCAGTGACCAACAGGCTTGGGCCAGTTTGCCTGGCTCATTGCATGTCTTGACTTTGCTCATAGTGTTACAAGCTGAAAACACAGAGTTTGAGATTTTTTTTTTTAATCCAAGGACACTTAACCCCTGAGCCACATCCCCATCCCTATTTTGTATTTTATTTAGAAACAGGCTCTTAGTGAATTGCTTATCATCTCACTGTTGCTGAGGCTGGCTTTGAATTCATGATCTTCCTGCCTCAGCCTCCTGAGCTGCTGGGATTTCAGGCATATGCCACCATGTCCAATCTTTTTAAAATTTTGAGACAGGGTCTTGCTAAGTTGCTGACGCTAGCCTCCTTGCAATCCTTCAGCCTTCAGAGTCCCTGGGATTACAGGTGTGTGCAACTATGCTTGCTCTAATGATTTTCATGCATAGAGTATGAGAATCATGCTTAGACATTGCCTCCCTCACTGGAAGATGAATTCTCCAAAGGAACAAACAAGAACAGCATAATTTGTGTCCCCAGAATCACTGACTGCCAGGCATAGTGTAAAAGTTGAAGAAAATGTTCATTGAATACATTAACTAAGCCCAAACCATCCTCCTCTCCTAGGCACCGTGCAGAATCCTCAGGTTCACCCTCCCCCGCAGACAGATGCTCTCTGGCTTTCGCTTGTGTTATCTCTTGTCTTTTTCTGAGTCTGCTTTCCACCATGTACTTGGAGTTACTCAAGATCCAGATTGCTTCTGAGTCATCCATTTGCCTGTCATTGGACACCAAGTACACAAGGAATGTTCAATAAATGTTTGAGGCGTGAATGTCCAAGGGAGGGGCCTGACCCTTTCCCCAGAACTTCCTCCCTGGTATGTAGTGTTTGAACTCTTGCACTTTTCCCGTGGCCCTTGGTCTGCCTTAAAATTTGTTTGTGTGTGTGCATATATGTGTGGGGGTTTTTTGTTTGTTTGTTTTTGTCATTCTGGGGACCAAACCCAGGGCTTCTCTCATGTAGGGCAAACACTTTATCACTGAACTACACCTCCAGCCCATTTTAAATTTGATTTTGAGGGGCTGGGGATGTGGCTCAAGCGGTAGCGCGCTCGCCTAGCATGCGGCCCGGGTTCGATCCTCAGCACCACATACAAAAACTAAGATGTTGTGTCCGCCAAATACTGAAGAATAAATATTAAAATCCCCTCTCTCTCTCCCACTCTCTCCCTCTTTAAAAAAAAAAATTTAAAAAAATTAAATTTGATTTTGAGACAGAGTCTCCCTTAATTGCCCAGCTGGCCTTGAACTTGAGATTCCTCTGGCCTCAGCCTTCTGAGTAGAATAACACACAAGGCAAGCTCCACTACATCTGACTGATATCACTTTTAATCTTTGTGAAAACCTGATGGAGTAGGAGCTATTTGTATCCCCATTGATCAGCTCAAACTGAAGTTTACATAAATTAGATCCTATAGCTAGTGCTAGACCAGCAGTTCTCAAAGTGGGGTTCCAGTAGCCACAACTTTGGCTTTACAAAAGAACCTGTTAGAAATGCAAATTTTGGGGCTGGGGCTGGGGCTCAATGGTAGCACACTCGCCTGGCATGTGTGAGGCACTGGGTTTGATTCTCAGCACCACGTATAAATAAATAAAGGTCTATCAACAACTAAAAAAAAAAAGTTAAAAAAAAAAGAAATGCAAACTTGGGCCCACACAGTGGAGGTAATACCAGTGGCTAGAGAGTCTGAGACAGGATGATCACAAGTTCAAAGCCAGTCTCAGCAACAGCAAGGGCTAAGCAATTCAGTGAGACCCTATCTCTCAATAAAATACAAAACAAGGCTGGGGATGTGGCTCAGTGGTTGAGTTCCCCTGAGTTCAATCCCCCATACCCCCCCAAAAAAAGGGAAGAAATACAAATTTGGTCTGGCAAATGGAATCCAAAGGCATATTAAAAAACAGTGCACCCCAATCAAGTGGGGTTCATCCCAGGGATACAAGGTTGGTTCAACTAATGGAAATCAATAAATGTAATTCATCATATCAATAGACTTAAAGATAAGAATCATATGATCATCTCAGTAGATGCAGAGAAAGCATTTGACAAAATATAACACACCTTCATGTTCAAAACACTAGAAAAACTAGGGATAATAGGAACATATCTCAACTCTGTAAAAGCTATCTATGCTAAACCCAAGGCCATCATTCTAAATGGAGAAAAATCAAAAGCATTCCCTTTAAAAACTGGAACAAGACAGGAATGCCCTCTTTCATCACTTCTCTTTTTTTTTTTTTTTTTTGAGAGAGTGACAGAGGAGAGAGAGAGAGAGAGAGAGAGAGAATTTTTTTTAATATTTATTTATTTTTTTAGTTCTCGGCGGACACAACATCTTTGTTGGTATGTGGTGCTGAGGATCGAACCCGGGCCGCACGCATGCCAGGCGAGCGCGCTACCGCTTGAGCCACATCCCCAGCCCCTTTCATCACTTCTATTTAACATAGTCCTTGAAAATCTAGCCAGAGCAGTTAGACAGATGAAAGAAATTAAAGGAACAGAAATAGGAAAAAAAGAACTCAAACTATCACTATTTGCTGATGACATGATTCTATACTTAGAGGATCTGAAAAATTCCACCAGAAAACTTCTAGAACTAATAAATTAATTTTGCAAAGTAGCAGGATATAAAATCAATACTCATAAATCAAATGCATTTCTGTACATCAGTAACGAATCCTCTGAAAGGAAAACTACCCCATTTACAATAGCCTCAAAAAAAAAAAAAAAAAACAAAAAAAACTTGGGAATCAACTTAGTAAAAGAGGTGAAAAACCTCTACAATGAAAACTACAGAGGGGTTGGGGATGTAGCTCAGTGGTAGAGTGTTTGCCTAGCATTCATGAAGCCCATGTTTATAGCAGCACAATTCACAATAGCATAGCTAAAT